AAGTACTATTTGTCAGTTACCACAGAAAACCGAAATAATCCTAGGAAATTTTGGAAAGCAATAAAATCGATATCCACCGGTGAGATCCGTAATGAGCTACCTCCGTGCCTTACCACAGCATCTGGCACTATATCGGACAGGGCCACTATGTTAAATTGCTTTAATGAGCATTTTGTGTCCTCCGGTTCTATGTTTGATTCTGTGACTAACTTTGCTTCTGTGAACACCCCAATCCGTGACTCTGAACAATGTGGTCTGGAAAACCCTTTCAGTTTTACTCCTTTTACTGTCAATGTTGTTCATGAAGCCTTATCTAAGCTAGATCCTAAGAAACCGGCTGGCCCGGACAACGTAGAACCTTTCTTTTTAAAGATAGCTGCAGATTTGATTGCTCTTCCTCTTACTACTCTTTTTAACCTCTCTCTCAGCACAAATGCAATTCCAAAAGTATGGAAGTCAGCTTATATCCTGCCTTTACTAAAAGGAGGGGAGGCAACTATTTTAAATAACTATAGGCCAATCTCTAAATTGTCAGTTCTGAGTTTTTATGTAAAAATGATATCCTGTCTAAACATCAGTCAGGCTTCAGAAAACAACATAGCAACATCACTGCCACAATGAAAGTGGTTAATGACATTACGAGTATTTTAGACAATAAGCAGAGATGTGCAGCTCTATTTATTGACCTTTCCAAAGCGTTTGATACCGTCGATCATCGCATCTTAAAGCAGAGGCTACTCAGTATCGGCATATCCAGCCATGCAGTGGGTTGGTTTGTGAACTACCTCTCTGAAAGGTCCCAATGTGTTCACTTTAATGGGCTGTCTTCTGAGTGGTTAAATATTGCTAATGGTGTTCCTCAAGGTTCTGTTTTAGGTCCACTTTTATTCTCCATATATATCAACAGTTTAGGTGAAAATGTGGATGAAGCTACTTTACATTTTTATGCTGATGATACCGTGATGTATTGTGCAGGTCCCTCCATTAAGGAGGCTGGTGTTAAATTACAGGCTGTTTTTTTAACATTATTCAGACTCAGCTTGATAAACTTAAGCTTATTTTAAATGTTGATAAAACCAAGGTAATGCTATTTTCAAAAGCTAAAAAGACACCAGAGCCTATTTTGGATATTGTTACTATGCAAGGACAAGTACTTGAAGTGGTTACCAGTTATAAATACCTAGGTATCTGGCTTGATGATTGTCTTACTTTTACACTTCATGTCAATAACCTGCTTAAAAAGCTGAGGGTTAGACTAGGTTTCTTTTTCAGAAATAAGTCCTGTTTCTCTTTTGAAGCCAGGAAAAGGCTAGTCACTGTGACCTTTTTACCTGTGCTGGACTATGGTGATTTGATCTACATGAATGCACCTGCCCATTGCCTGGAAAAGTTAGATGCCGCCTATCACAGTGCCCTGAGATTTGTTACTAACTGTAAAGCACTTACTCATCACTGTACCCTATATGCCAAGGCAGGTCTGCCTTCACTAACTGTACGGAGGCTCAGTCATTGGTACATGTTCATTTACAAAGCCATGTTGGGTAAACTACCTTTTTATATCTGCTCTCTGATCTCTCGACAAATTGAAAGTATATATTGCCTGAGATCTCATGATGTTGTTTTATTAAATGTGCCAAGTGCTAGGACTGTCTTAGGGAAGAAAGCTTTTAGTTGTGCAGCTCCACTAAATTGGAACAGTCTGCAAACATGTTTAAAACTGAGCACTTTGGTTCCCCTACATCATTTTAAAACTCAGCTGGGTGACATGCTGTTTGATACTCATGGTACCTGTCTCTGTAAATAGAGTTTGTAAACTGTACCCTGTGCATTATGTTGTATGTCATCCTTATTGTTGTTCTGTTGTTTTTATGTTACATGTGTAACTAATGTCCTGCAGGTCACCCTTGAAAAAGAGATCTTTTGATCTCAAGGGGCTTTCACCTGGTTAAATAAAGGCTACAAACAAACATTGTGTTTGTTACTTTCGTTGCAGTTGTATGTCTTAAGTGTAATTTGGCATGCTTTTATTTTGAAGGTGAGTTTACGCTGTTGACAGATGTTGTTGCTATGGAAACAAGAAACGTTTCACAGCGGGCGGAACTTGTCATAAAGTCCCCGATAATAAAGCCCACCCATTTAGAGGGAAGATATGATTGGTCAATTGTACTGTCATTTGACATTACTGTCTCATTCAGTTATTATAGCTGGCCCTCTGTGAATTCATAGCTGGACGTCCAATCAGCTCCTCTCTTCACAGTAACTCGCAGAGAGGAGCTTCTTTCATTTAACCCTTCACATTCAAACAGAAACTGAATAGGCAGATTCAAAGGATTTATTTCTTTGGAAATGTTATTTTAAATACAATTTAATCAAGTTATTTTTGGTAAAACTAATGACAAATATTACTAAACATATTTTAAAAAAATATATAAAGAAAAATATAATTTGTTTTAATGTTTTTAAATATTATTTTGTAGAATATCTTAGGCCCTCAGAGACAGGCTCGCCACTGGTAAAAATCTCTCATAGACACGTGAAATGCTCTCACAGACACACACAACAACGTTGCAGTCGGGAAGAAAAGCAATGTGGAGCGAGAGAGAGAGAGAGAGCGAGAGAGCAAGAGAAAGAGCACACCTTTATCTATTTAATAAAGTTGTAAAAAATAAAGTAAGAAATCATTCCAATGTGTACTATAGGACAGTAAAAAGTTTAAAAGGGGAGGGATTAGTCAAATATGCATACATAAAAAGAAAGAATGCTAACTAGGTAACATAAGATAAGAATAAACAACTTTAAATGATTTGTTGTGATCATATTCTAAAGATGTTTGGATTATTGAAAAGTATCAGTACAGCTCCCTTTCATATGAGTGTTGAGAGCTGTATCCATCAATTCATGTTGGGCTCAAAGTAGGGCTGCTCGATTATGGCAAAAATCATAATCTCGATTATTTGGGTCAATAATTGATATCACGATTATTAAAAACGATTAACCATTTACTTTGAAAAACATCAATTTATTGAAGAAAATAATTTGAAAAGTATGTTTTTAACAGTTGATTACCCTGAACTTTAAGTATAATTCAACTGAAAAACCTATTTTAAAAAAATAATTAATTGAGCAGCCCTAGCTCAAAGTGCACCAGATTGATGCATTTAACTTCAACATTTAAACAAAATCTTCTTGGGGGTGCATGCCCCCGGACCCAGAGGATGTGACGTCCACCACCAAATAAAGCAGGTTAAAATAATTAAATTGCATACATTTTATTTTAGTAAACACTGAAAACGGGTCCCACAGACCCAAACAGCATTCAAAGGTTAAAGGTAGCATATAATAATGTTAAAATGTGCTAAATATATACACTGCAAAAAAACAAAAAAGAGGAGTAAAAGTAGCTCACGACTTGTTTTATTTTTTTTAAGTAGCTCTCATCTTAAAAAAGGTTGGAGACCCCTGTTATAGAACGATACATTTGACAATTTTAAGCTTGGCCTACCATTTTATTGGAGCGATGAGGAACAGGTGGGGCTTGAAAAGGCCCACCTGTTCAAAGTGGGGAATGACAGAAAAAGTTTGAGAACCACTTGATTAGAGAAACCATGTGTGCAAGTCAGGAAATGTAAATGCGATGAAAATGCCAGCAGATATGTGTAATTACGTAATTACCATAGGTAATTACCTAGTTAAAGTATAAGTGCGAAACAAATTAGATGCTGACTGTAAACTTGATTTTAGGGTGTAGCATGTGCAGGCAGTGAATACTGTCCTCCTCATGTTTGTTGTGATGATGGTTTATTACTGCCACCATGTGGAGAAATCTCATTACGACTATTGGAGCGACTGACTTCTTATGTTTGCAAGTGTATGTAATATTAATGTTCTTAGTGACTTAAATAAGAGTGTCTGGTCATATATTCAGTATTCAACCTCAGCCATTACAGGGATAAAGACATACTGTAGCAATAGTTTACGCTCCAAAAATCGTTCCCATACGGCAATAAAGTCATTTCGCTGCTCATTTTTTGCATAAAGGCAACTGAAGGAGAACCACTGAAGCATGACGGGAATTGATTTCCTGTATGCATATTTGCATTTGAACTGAACACTTGTGCATGAAAGCCAAAGAGGGCGTTCGGCACAGAAGGTTCCTATGAGTCACCATCATTGCAATACATCACCCACTTAGCCTTCATTCATTCAACACGCCTCTCGCTATGCAGGGAAGAGTATGCATATGTATTTGACTATTTTACTTAAAATATACCTACTTCTGAATGTTAAACATATCAGGAGTTAAAGGTTGTTATGTTGACTAATGAGCTCTTGTCTAGCACAATGGAACAGAGAGTGGGCATTAAATACAACAACTGATCTCACTATAATGTAGTCTTTCAATTATGTCAAAGCAAGACGAGAGTTTAATTGTACATCTTCTTGCTCTTTAGGCTTCAATCCAAACTCATGTCAACACCAATCAATGACACTGCTATCAGTTTTATGCAAAGCCAAGTGAATTGATTTGAAATGAATAAGGACAAATGTACTTTGCATTTGGACTTTTAGTGACTGACAGGTATATAAATGGCATTTAAAGGGGGCTCGGGGCCGGGCACAGAAAGGCTGCAGTGATATACTTTGCCAATAGCATAGCAGCTCAGCAGGTGCATTTTAAAGAGGTGGGGTAAACTACTTGAATATGAATATGCAATTAGGAACACATTTTGACAATAAATAATCCTCCTCACTAAAACGTATTCAAGAGACGAAGTGTGTCTTAAATAAATAACAATATGCCTAAATACGCGTGTATGTTCCTCTTGCAGCTGAGACTCGGTTACACGATTACATGTGCATTAGATTAGAGCATCTCTTTTTTTTAAATACCCCTTATTTTTGCTTTGGCCTGCGCCGGCAAAAAATGACCCGGGTATCAGCAAAGCAAGTGGTAAAGAGGTGCTGCGTGTCACTAGCGGAGAGGTCCACATTTCACGCACGACGTGAGGAGTTCCCGGTGAAAACGCCCCTCTACTCTCCTCCTAGCCCTCGCGACCGTGAGCATCCCTGCCGGCTCGTGCTGTCTGCTGTCCCAGGCTGCAGGGCTACTCCTCCCGCGGCAGAGGAACGGAGCTCCGGGGCGGTGGCGGCGTCTGTCTTCCAGTTCCCTGCGATCTTTATGATCACAATTTGGGCTGAATCTTGAAAAACCCCGGACCTGACAGGACAGGTATGCCTTGTATTTGTTTGTCTCATACGGTGACAGCGGAACAGGTGCATGCTGCATATGCCGGTTGTTAGGAAATGACATTGTAGGCAATGAACCGGGAGCGTCTTGGTACCGGTGACACGCTTTTGGCTCACACCGAGCTCTGCATGCTCTGTAAAGACACCGCTTTGTGCTTCAAGTGTCATGGACGGATAGGGAGGGTGTTGTCACAGATCTTTAATCCGGCCAATATGGTCGGCAGGATGGTTTAATAAGCTGCATAGAATCAGGGCATCCTTTATTTCATGCATATCAAGGCCCTAGGCAGACACCTTTCCTATCTTCTTACTGAATCACATAGCGCCAGATCAGCCCTGTTTCTCTACACATCCGACCCATATACGATTGTTCTGAGCTATTTTTGGAAATGCCGGTGTGTGATGATTGTGATTTCTCTTTGTGGAGCTATAGGCTAAGCACAGCTGATGCTCGAGATAATGAGCTAATTGAAGCCGGTGTGTGTCGCGGGTGTGGCACGCGTGGGAGCCTCAGCAAGGAAGGTCTCCTGAATGTGTGAATTGCAATGGGACAATCGGCTGTTAAACTGAAAATGCTTGAAAACTAAAGTTAGAAGACTGATTTAAAAAGGATACTTCACATATGAATAGATACAAAGAAAGGCACAAACTGGCCTTGTTTCATCTTATCAGCTGCTGTCCTTGGTCTATTATTATTTTAAAAAATGTGTCCATTGGGAAATAGGTTAAGCTATTTGCATGTGGATTCAAAAATACAATTTAAACATCTTTGCAATGAGTTTGAAATGTCCTCACTATTCATACTCAAAGCTGTATTACAGCTGTAAACCACAAATTATTTTAGGGTGTAGATCCTTTTTTCTGAATTATTTTCTCAAAATGTCATCTGATCCTCTCTTCTAAATGTTATACAACAATATATTCCTTGACATTAAACTTTGAATTGAAATAGTATACACAAACACAAATTAATTGAATATTAGATGTTGACAGAAGATTGCATTTGCATAAAACATAAAACTATAAAGCATACGCTTACATTTGAGGGATGCAACCAGATAACTTTCTGTGGTAAAAGTTTGGCAAAGAAAAATAACTCCCAAACAAAAAACATCAATATGAGACACATATGTATACTTAAAATACAAAAGTGAACAACTCAGCAAGTTTACATTTCAACAACTCCAGAAAAGTCAATTTATAAAAGTTACCATTATCAGTAACAAGGCCTTTTGTTCACCCTCATCCTCCTCACAGACTGTCAGTCCTTGTGTATCTGGCTCCTTTACCACGCCAAAGGCTACAGATATCCAAGACTGAATTGGTGGAGACAGAGTCAGGGAGGAGGCAAATTAGATAACAAATCCATCCATCTGTCCATCTCTGTCCCTTAATGCATCCTCCAGTCTCTGGAGTCTCTTTCTTTCACCTGCTCCACTTCCAGCCTCCCTAGGTGCATTACAATGGTGCAACTAAGCAGAGTGCTGCTCCTCTGTTATGCCCCTTTGATCATTCACACCAAAAGGGCAAAGCTTCTTTGTGTGTATGTTGAATTAAACTCATACAGGCTGTTTTCAAGGTGCTACAATGAGTTTAAATGCATGTAATACAATAATGGAATTACATGCTATATTTCCCACAGATTTATTTGCTCTTATCTATGAGAGGTATGATGTAAAGGACAGTCAAGCAGCTGTTTGTGTAAAACATGAAAGGACAAGGTTATGAGACGGATGTACACATGGCATTCACAGGCAGCGACTCCATTACTTTCCGGTCATAGTGTGACCTCCGTGCAATCTGTCACCAATGCATATTCCATTATGGCAAAGGTCAGGTCACACGTTATATGGCCTCCAGGATGCATTTTTGTGTCTGTATTTCTGTGTGCGTAAATTCTGCCTGCTTGTTTGTTTAAGGCAGCTCACTTCTATACATCTCTCCCAAGAGTCCTATTACAAGTCATCCTCTGATCGATTTGTAATAGCTCATTGAAGCAGGGCCAGCGGTCTGTTCACAGCCAACTTGGAATGCTCCACAAGATAAACGCACGTCACTTAGAAGTGAGAGAAGCTTTCAAAGGCATATTAAAGATAACCGCAGGCAATACATGGTCACTTTTTGCATTACTATCAACATGATGTTTTGTGAGATGCAATGCCTCACTCAGAAAGACATCCCATTTTCTGCATGGTTCTCACATCATTTTAAATCAATCAATGTAAAAGTATGGGGATTTCTTCAAGACTATCGTTGGGCTTGCTGAAAGCAATAATTAACATATGTCTTAACTTTGTCTAAAACTGGAAACAAAACTGAAGTCCACTTGAAAAGTCAGTTGTTGTGACCTGCTCATTTTAAATTACGAAATTAATCAGATCAGAGGATTTGAACAGACTTAAAATTGGTTGTTAAAAATCTGAAGCATGTTAGCCGTAATGCGAGCAACATGACGGTTAACATGCTAAAGTAATTATCTTACATTACATTGTCCCTCCACTGTGACACACATTACAGCTACATCTTTTCACCAGCCCTTTGTTTTCATGGCAAACTATTTCAGAAGAGACTAGAAGCTGCTTGAAATTGTTGGTCCCCCTCCTCTATCCACAGACCCTGTGTCACTTCAGTGCCCCCACCTCTACATGGAAGTCACATCCTTCAGTCCAGTGCCACGGTTCAATTATTAACTTCATTTCTATTTTACCAATGTGTAGGCTACATGTGAACGAACACAATATTTCTTACCGGCTGTTTCTTTGTCTTAATATTATCTTGTGTTGAATTCTGATGTTAGACAAGGGTTCCCATGGTAACTGAATTTTAAACAGGCATGCCTGATGTCTCTGTGTTAACCATCGTTAGTGGTGACAGTCTCCTCTTTGGTCAAATAGAAGAAAGAAAAAAGAAAGAACTGTGCTGCAGGCACAGTGTGGTGCCTGTCATTTCCCTGTCATTGTGATGAAGAGAGAAGATTTCTTTAGTTTTGTCTATTTGACTCTGCAAGTAAGGCTCAGTTCAATTGCATAGAGGGAAGTGGAGAAGTACACTATGAAACTGCAGAAGATGCTTTTATTGTAAGAATTGGAGAGTTTCTCTCAATTTCGGTGAGCTTGAATTGTGAAGTGGAATATACTCTTGCTGTTTTAACGTTATGTGTTCATATTGGGTCAGAGGGTCAGAATAAATCGCAGTCCGTATTACATGGATTAAAAAAGATGCACCTTAATCTATCCAATGTATCGAATGTTGTGTTTGTATGCGTACCGTCTGCCTAGATACACATGCGGTGGACACAATAACAATAACAGCAATATGTTATGCAATCATAAAATAGCACTGCAAGAAATATTCACTTTAGATTCTGTGGTTGCCAAGGATTTACTGATTTCAATGGTTCAGGTTAAAGGCTGTATTTGCAGAAAATGTAAACAGTGTACACACACACTATAGACAGTATGTAGGCTACTGTAGTGTCTGCAGTCTGCCCTGCTCTGTCTAATTGTATCTGTAAACTGCTGCAGCATATTTGTCAGACTGGACTGTTTGTCAGTTTGTATCAACAGTGTCTCAACATGTCTCACATCAGTGTCACCCACACAAGTGTCTGCAGCGTGAGGGTTCTTAAAATAACCCCGCTTTTGATCGAAAACACATTCAATAGATTAGCAGCCAGAGCTTTACAATCATGTTCTAGATGTTCACATTTCTTTTGACACTTAATGTAATGTTCCTCTACCTTGTTACACATCCTGATGTTCCCTTTAGTAAATGGCGTTAAGATTACTCTGTGGACGTATAATGGCGAAGGACGGGACTTCCAGTCATGTAAACTGGTTAATTTTAAGGATATTCCTCACATAAATCAAACCATGCATTCCAACGGCTCATTTTTTAGAGATTTCCCTGCCTGATCTGTTTTAATCAGGGAGGATTAACTTTACAATGACCCCACCCTCTGCTCTAATCATTTTGATATGCACATTTACCACCTTCTCCAATCTAAGATAAGTTTGCAATCACACAATCTGTCGTTTCATATCAGCTCAAAAAGTGGAACTAAGTACTTTAGATGTTTTAAATGTAGACGCCATTGTAACTCCTGTAACATCCCCTGCTTTAGTGCAGAACCTTCCCATGAGAGAGTGTTTGTTCTATGTCGATGCAGGCAGCACAACTTCCTCTGGGCTTGCTTTCTCTTTGGGAGGATGAACTTGCAGCCTCATTGGTTCGCAAGTCGTATCATTTATCTCTGTTGTGGTGTGACATGATTTGCAGCAGACTTTACAGTCCTGCTAGGCAAACTGCTTCCAAGACTGCTGAGTGCCAATGGTTTTGGAGAATGTGTGTATGTGGTTTTCCCTGAACAAGGACATCTCGCCACTCCCACTCTCCCAACCCCCACAGTCCTGTACCTGGTCTCCCGGAGCGAGCCTCGGCACTGTAGGATTGATGGACTGGCTGTATATTCCATTAGGGGGGAAGCACTGATTATAAAGCTTAGATATGGGAGCTGCATGATAAAAAGGGCAAGGCTCATTTATGAAATGTTCAGTGACTGGGTATTGGCTTCTATCTGGAAATACCGTCATTTATCATGTTATTTGTAGGTCGACTACAGTAGCTGCTTTGGCCATTAACTACAAAAAAACGCTAACTACTTCAGCTAGTAGCCGTAGTAACCATTACCGTCTTGATACACTATGCTCATTAAATTGTACACTGTAAAATGTTTGGCTGTAAAATTACAGTCAATTACTGGCTACTAGTTGCATGGATTTCACAGTAATTGACTGTAAATATTTCACAGTAATTGACTGTAAATATTTTACAGTTCATTAGAATAAAAGTACAACTAAATACTGTGACTTTACAGTTGCCATGCCCATGGAATTACTGTGATATAGCAGTACAGAGCTGTGGTATTATGGTACCTTGCTGTACATAAATTACAGTAATTACCTGTATGTTCACACTATTACT